GTGCGGCGGCGGCGGGCTCCGGCGCGGGAGCCTCCGGCGCGGCGGCGGCGGCGGAGGCGAGGGCGGCCTTCAGGCGCTGCGCCTCCTTCTCAGCCTCGTCCTGGCCTGTTGAGGGAGGCATCACAAATTGCATTGCGAGTTGCAATAGGATCTGGTTCAGAAAAGAAGGGACACAACAGCCAGCACACGTTGGTGACATCCCGGGCGCACTTGTCTGTGTTCGATGCGATCGCCCCGCGCGCCCCCAGCATCACATGCTGCGCCAAACATTCCAATCTTTCATGAGCGCCTGGGCGTCGGAGGCAGGCACGGCCGCGCGGCGCCGCTTGCAGCCCGCCCGCTCACTCTGCTTCGCGGCCTCGGCCCTGCTCTTCTCCGCCGCCGCCGACGCCTCCGCCGACGCAGTGCGGCGCCGCGCGGTTGCAGTCTTTTTGGCCGCCGCGGCCACCGCGCCGGATGCCTCGGCCTCCGCGGCCTGCACCAGCTGGGCGGCCTCCGCCTGCAGCTCGGCCGCCGCCTGGGCGCTGTTGGCGCGCTCTGTGAGCTCCGCCATTTCGGCCTGCGGGGTTGCCCAGGGGGACGGGAGCTCGGTCACTGCGGGCTGCCATGGGGACCCTGCAGGTCGGCGCTGGCCCTACCATTATGACATCAACGGGTCATCCCGGGGCCAAGCTGGAGGCGCCTCAGCCGAGCGCCTCTGGGGGCAGCTGTGACATCAGGTAACTCCACGGCGGGTGTCAAGCTGCCAGATTATACCCTTCTCGCGCCCGCGGCAAAGGGCGGGGAGAGGTCGGCGTATCGAGCTAGCCGGGCGTACGCCTTATGCCCCGTGCCTGAGCCCAGCGGCGCACCTTGAGCCGGGCGACCTCCTCCTGGGCGCTGCTGGCCGCCACCTGGGAGCCGTCGGCCGCGTCGCGCAGCGCAGACAGCTCCGCGTTGGCCTTCTCCAGCTGCGGCCGGGGCGGCGGGGGCGGCGGGGCGGGGGCGCGTTTGGGGTGTGAGGACCGGGGCGTGTGCTGATGTGGCGAGCGGCGCGGTCGGGGTGTGACGAGGGGGCCGTGGTGGGTGCGCGGGGCGGGCTTGGTGTCCGGAGGGGGGACGGGGCGGTCGGCAGCTGTTCCCGCCAGGCCAGGCCTTCAAATGTGTGAGGGGGGCGCCAAGCTCGAACACCTCAACACCTCTGCATCGACTTCGCCTTCAGACCCCCGCGGCTCTGCCTTCATCAGGTTGCTATGCCCCCAAAAACGCCCCGCGACATCCCCGAGCCACCTGCTGCCCAAGCCGACCAGACAGCTGCACTCGCCACACCCTCCCGCCCTGCCCCTCCCGGGCCCTGCCGCCCGGCTGCCCTCAAACCGAGCTTGGTCTGCCAAACCCACCTGCTCCTGCACCTTAGCCAGCTCCGACTCGGCGCCCGGCAGCTTACTGGCTGCAGCCTGTCGGAAGCGGATGACGCGGAATGCAGATGAACGCCTGCCCTGCGCAGACGCCACACACAAGCACGCAAGCATGCACGCGTGCACTCGCCCCGTGCGAATACGCAGACGCCCACCTGCGCCACCGACAGCTCGTTGCTCAGGTGCCTCAACTCCTCCTGCCGCTCCTCCTCCGCCGCCGCCGCCTCCGCCGCGCCGCCGCCGCCGCCGGCCGCGCTCTCCAGGGCTTCCGCGAGCTTGGCGGCGGCTTCGCGCTCGGCGGCGCGCGCTTCCTCGGCCTCGCGCTGGGCCACGACCAGCTGGTCCGACAGCTTCTCGGACTCCTGGGGTAGCGCCAACCATGACATGTGTTTTCAGAGTCAGCGTAGTGCGGAGGCGCGTCGTTCGGTTGACAGGGGTGGTTCGGTTGCTGTGCGCTGCGCCCTCGGCGAGCCGTCAGGAGCCGGTCGCGGCCGTCACTACGGCCGCGGTGGCACGGCCCGGCAGGAACCAGGCTGCTGCGAGGAGCCAGGGGCTGCAGGGCGCACCAGGCGCCGCCCTCTCCCGCTTCGCCAATGGGTTGACGCACACATCCCCCCCCCCCCCCCC